TTGAAACTTTCTGAAGCAGGACGCGGTAAACCTTGGTTGGTTGGTTGGTTGGTTGATTGAAGCTTCACGTACCGATAGCATACATTTGTTAAAAAGTTAATAGATACCAGGTAATCCCAAATAACTAAAGGTCTTCATATATTTACGGTTCGTTTCTAGTGTGAACGACAGTAACTCATTCGAAGGGTTTGCCTAATTTTTTTCTCTTTCTTATCGATCACATTGAACTGACATAGAAAATACATGCGGTAACATAAATTCATCACTAAATAAAGAATTACATATATACTACACAGAATAATATGTATATAACCAGCTGTATATTTCAAGCGAGTATGGCCGTCACAAAAATGGACACTGCAGATTCTGTTTGAGCACCCAACCTTTTCGGCAGTCACATAACTGCAGACTTTTACCGCGAGACTAAAGGTATGCTTTTTCGGGATGAATGAGATTTGTCACTATGAGAGACATCAGCATGAGACAGATAAACCTTTTTAATGCAGAAATATCATTGCAGACAATGAATCTTTAGTAATCAGGCCGAACTACTATAGACCGTTGCAAGAAGCATGTCGCAAGGCACATTGAGAAACATTACCTATTTCATAAAGTTATAAGAAAAGATGCTGAGATTTTTATATATATGAGTATACGTGTGCTCGAGATGTGAGCTGCGTGGATGGCGCCGGTGCCAGCAAGAACGGCGGCCGGCGTGGCAACGGTTCTTCAGTATTTTTGTTCCATACAAAGGACCCCAATCGATCGCAACTCTCGTAAGCTTTACTTGCCACAACTCGTAAGCTTGCCACAACTACTGCGAGAGAGACTGCTGCCACTTCCGTTCTGTCAGAGATACGCGGCCAGCGTTTGACTGTGGGGCTGGCCCACTGTGTCGATGTCACCATCGCCAGATTCATCACTTCCGTTCTTCATCAACGGCATCGTAGCACACCGTTATCATCACCATCGCCATCGCCTCTGTTGCCAAGCCAAATACGGTGTCTATCTTTGTCTTCTCGGAGTCACCAATTACTTTACCTATCCTTCTGCTTGTGCGCTCGTTAGAACCACTGCATCTCATCAGAGAATAACGTACACAAAATACCAGCACTAGCCACAAGTGGACCGCGTCCAACAACCATTTTTCGTTGCCATTGTTTCTCTCCCTCTGATCAGTAGCAGCGGCAGCAGCTGTTGTCGACGAACAGACGACGTCTGCCACTGATTTTAGATGAAGTAAGAATCATAGGCTTGTCCCTTAATATGACTAGGCCAGCTAATTTTTGCATACTTCGAGCACATAAAAAATGCTCGAAAGGTTAACCACCGATTGGGCGTCTGATAAATTGTTACCGTTGGCAAGGGAGAAAACGACACGTAGATGCCAACATAACCCTAAACAGATGCGGCTGTACATGTTATCCAGAGCGGTTCCCGATATCTATATGTAGAAAAGTAGGTATTCAACATTTTCGTCTATCCTCTTTGTACTTCAGACATGGATTCCAATCATACGGAATCACAAATGGCGTTTGTACACTTCGTTCATGCAATTCGATCACAGTAATAGCATATTGTATTCTATAGGTGCATCGTTTCCGTAGCAGCTAGTCTATACTTGCCCATAATTACCCACAGAAGAAGCGTTCTTTGTTACCAGAAATAAACGCCACTTAATTTGGCTTAATGCGAAAGAGTACTTGTTTCAGGGATCGAGACGATTGCTGGACAGTTAATAGGATACACGCACAGATCTGCCAGTTGCTTGACATCGCCGCTCTGAATTCGTAACCGCCTTGTCTTCAGTATCTCTTGTTGGCGTCTGGTACTTTTCGGTCGCATCGGGATGAGTTATATCATATTCCGTGCACTCAGCTATCACGCTACGTAATAGGGCAAACTAAATACACCTCGTGTTGAATTTTTGTAGAATGCATTTTTGGAATTAAATTAGCGTACAATTGGAAACTTATCGGGTTGAGTTCAACATGGCGCGCATGCTTAGAGCTCAGGCAACGTAAGAAGGGCAATGTAAATATGATCGTCAGCAAAGGAGCTTCGAGTGTGTCATCTTTGATATTCTCGATGCCCGTTACTTTTCTTTTATCCTATTAGATAAATATATTACTATGAAGGGTACATATTATTATACTGCATGCAAAAGAGGCTTAAACAAGATCAATGTAGTTTAACAAAGGACACGGGTATTTGCACTCGAGTGTCTCATCGAGTTCCCACAAATATTCCAAAATTCTGTGTAAACGTTTCTAATAAAGCGGCGACTGGCGTGGTCAACGCTGAACATGGACAGGCGCAGGCTTCTTCTCTCGCAGCCGCCCCCATTAGGCCTTTAATCTGAGTTTATTGAATCGTTGACGCCTCAATGATCGCAGCACTGGTATTGTGTATTGCGCAGCGGCGACTAAGTCGCATTAGTGGCGCCGGTGTAAACGATCGACAAGGTGACAAAATGACCGGCGTTTCACGCTACTCTCTCCGCGAAGTCGATTGAGGTCTATATTAACCGAAAAGGAAGGCTGCCCATAGCCTACCACTGATTGATCATTGCCGCAGGTACATTTGTCGAGCAAACAGCCTTTCAAGCCCCGTGTGGAAACAATAGTTTGAAGAACAGATAGACTCATATTCGTATCTACTGATGTCGTCTCCGATTTGGTTCTTCGCATTTGTCCTGGTACAACTGCGGTGCATTGCCGCTGCTGCCTAAACGCTGCCGTTGAAGTCTGCATCGGCGCAAGATAGAAACGCTAATCATTTTGAGCCTATAGCAGACCTTAATACAGCGAAGTGTCCTGCCGCAAACAAGCCGATGACCACGCATAACGGACGAATACTGTTTAAGTGCGTCTCAATCAAAGAAAAACAAACACCAGTTTAAAATTGAACGATAACACAATCGAGCATAAGAACAATCACTAATAATTATAATAATAACAACACGAAATAACAGCAGATGAAGATCTAACCACTAGACAAATTTGGCCACACCTATTTGCCATACGTTGAATGGGCTTTCTGTAGCTCGGCAAAATGAAGCAATAAATCAGAGTGCAGCCTGTAGATGCTTTGCACAGTTGTCAAAAGAAAACATTTGTATATGCAGGGTATTGGTGCATGAAATAACGACGATAATGTTCCGGTAAAATTCCTTAAAAAAATTAATTTTTCCATGATCTCCTTCTGGCAAGGTTGCTAGAACGGAGCAAAGTATGTATTGATGATAATATGATATAATAATATATCCATGTATACTAAGACATATATACATGATCTATATAATATTTAAGTGTAACGTAAAAATGCCTGAATCCGACCCAGTACGAAGCAGTCAGACGATACGGCTTCTATCGTCTGTCTGTTGTTGCCATAATAAAGCACACGCGTTACTGGTAACCAGCAGTACGGAAAACAGTAATATCAATAACTGTAGCAGTTATCGGGAAACAGTGATAGCCTTATGGCCGCTTGTAGCGCTAGCATTTCTTGCCATTGTCAAAGACTCGGTTTAATTGGCATCAGAGAGTAGTATCTTTACTCGATGCTCGTGCTTCAAACTTATCCAAATATCTCCATATATCCAATTGTTCTCGTGAATTTACGAAAAATGACGCCATGTCGAAAATCGTATTATTACGAGAGACGAGTACGCAGCGCCCACTTGCCCATGTTAGAATGACGTATGTTCTTTGATACAGGAACACAGCTCCACTAATATATATATATATTAAGGGAGCTCTAACGTGACTCGGATTGGAACTTGAACCATAAAGCTCGATGGCGCCTCGTTCGTTCAGTGACAAATCAGGTAAATTATTTTTCTGCCAATAAACGTCACTCTCGTTGCTCGTACAGCCGGCAGACGGCTACAAAGCAAATGTCGTATTATTGAGTCACTGAAAAGATAGTCTAGACAGACTCCTTGTTCGCTCGTAACTCGTTTTTCCATTCATTCATCTGCCTGCCCTCCCGACTGCCTGCCTGCCCGTTTTCTTCTTTAGTTCATTCGATACTCTGCTCAACTGCTACATCACCCCGTTCTACGACTTGCAATATTCCACCGTTCACGGTTTGGCTTCCGGGAACCGCCGGTGCCCCTGTTTCTTTACCCCTGTGTTCTTAGTTAGCGCGCGAAGCGTGGCCTGTGAGCGAGTGATGAAGGGAACCAAAGGGAACGGTCGCGGCAAGCGGCAGCGCAACTACTCCTACAGCGACCAATGGCTTCGGTGGCCACCACATCGACTTTCGTCCGATTTCATCTTTGGTTAGAAGCACAATCGTGGACTCATGTTAAATAACATTTATGTCTTTGGGCAAGGCGCACAGAAAACGTAGACTTGCGGCCACTGTGTGAATATAACCGAATGTAGAGATGCTGCTGGGCGGGATAAATCGGGTCTTTGACTGGACTGGCTAACTGAAGAATAAATGAGCCTTTTTTCCTCCAAATGCGCCTAAACGTGATTGCAAGTTGCAATAGACGATGTTGTGAAGTATACCCAACCGCTTCCTGAGTTCGTTCGATTGCAACTGGCCGAAGACGGCCACGAACCCGTGCGCCAAGTGGGACACCGTTAAATATTATAGACGCGTCTTAAAGGGATCGTTCAACAATTCTAATGGGTCTTGTGCTTCTGGCAGAGTTGAGAAACGCATTTCTACGTTTCGAAATAGATGTATGTCGATACTTAAGTTCTCAATGAAGGAGCTGCAAAAAACAAGGGTCCAACCCTGTGTGGATCAGTATTCGTTGAAATAATAAATAGGTAGTTAGCAATAACTAACCAAGAACAAACCGATCTAGTCACAGGGAAGAGCGAAAACGTTCAACAGATATATATACTATAAAAGTCAATTGTTCTTAATTAAACTCTTCAAGAATTTCTCAAGTTTATTGTTATTCTTTAAAAGATTTGTTAACAACGAAATACACTTGGCCTAAGTTAGTTACTGTAATAAGTTAACATACAGGTTCGAAATAAGGTTTCCTATTGCCAATACATTGGGAAGTCAACATTGCCCCCTACTAGTAAATTTATAAAATTACATTGTAATGTTCATAAGATAAACAATGCATGCTTTTTACATTTATTTTTTTAATTGATGTGATATATTACTGATGCAGTTTGTAAATATATATGCGTACTTTTAAGGTATACCTACATTTACATACCGGTGCGGTGTCTAACGTATTAGACGGAAGATTGCGTGAACGAAAAAATGGTAAAGCTACATTAAGATCTCTATGTGTTTTGCGTACATGTCAAAACTTTAGCCCTTATGGGTGTTTCGTCCCTACACTTGCATCGATGGGTGGAAATCGAATAAGGACATAAATAACACTGATTTCTATGATTAGTTAATCCGCTTTCTGCATACGCTGGTCGCTACAAGTTTATCTGGTGAATTCAGTGTGTGGTTTGCTCGTTTGTGTACCATAACCAATCCCTTCCCACACTCAATGAATCCATTTTGTATGATACAGTTGAATGCTGACATGATTTTGTCAGCCTTGTTAGTGTGATTACCATGGCCAGGTCACCTGTAGCACTTTGCCTGCGTATCAGTGCATGGTTCCTGGCTCGGCCATCGTTATATCCGTGAGCTTACCATGAGTTAGCGCATCTTTTTCACGTTTGCGTTGTCCTAATTTGTCTTTGGTTTCGGTATTCGATTGACCCTCTCGAAATTTAAGCCAAACTTCACTCTTTTTTTTTCTTTCTGTCTTGCCTACTCTGCTCCGCTGAGGGAGACCAGGTTTCAAAAATTCGCTGAATGGTATATCTTTACCATGTGGGCCAGGTTTTTTGTTAATTGTATCGTCAGTGGTAGCTTCTACTAATGAGCTTTCGCCATCATCTCCATATCTATGTAGATTAGCTGCGACCTTCGCAGCAGGTTCGGCCATCGATTCATTAGCGGATTTATGCTCGTCCTTAGTCGTTTCTTGTTCCGGCGCGTCGCTCTTCAGTGAGCCTGACTCTGTAAAAAGAAAATCAGCCGAAACCTAATCGTCAACATAGAGCGTGCCTCAGTTTGTCATTCTAGCAACCTTTCCGAATACACTATCTTCTATATGCTTCGTATCAAACTGTTCAACCGCAGGGTCAATCGTGCCTACGGAAGATTGAATCAATAATCTCCTTTTTGCATTTTTTTGAAATTGTTTGTAAACTGGACGTAGGATCATTGCATGGTGATAGAGGTTTGCCTGTGATTTGTCCAGGATCTACGATCTGCCACTTCTGACCAATTAGGTAGGCGCACATCTCTATTTCATAATGATAATATGACCGTATTGCCTTTTTAGCGGTGTGCGCCTATACTGATCGGCGAATTCTGTCGTACGTTGCCATGTCGATGGTTTACTAGCGGTACTAGGTGAATCTTCAACAGCGTACGCTAATGGATCATGGAATCATCAATGAAACAAAACGTGGATGAGAAACGATCAGACAGAGCTCAACAACTGATTGCTCACTTCCCAACTAAGCTACAAGCTATTGTAAATAAGCAGCTTTTTTTCTGGAAAACCATTTAGTGTGTGGTGTTTTCCTGAAGCTAACCCAGTACTTTCTTGCATCAGATATCGTTAGTCTTCAGTGCTATTTACTAAACCATCTATCGATTGAAGAACTCTCCGACATTCGCAATTTGTATTTATCCTTCTCTCGAAGAGCCGTTATGCGACGACTTTTACATTTTGCCTTGAAGGAAGTCCTGTCATCCTTCAAGGCTTTTTGCTGTCCGTTTTCCATAGTGAAAAAGAGCAGAAATGTCGACTCAATATTCTCAAGAAACAAGTCCTCATATGGGAAGGCCTACTTACTATTACGTTGTCTTTTTTAAGTTTTCTGTCGTTGTCGTTCGACTTAACTTACCATAACTGTATTGTGCCGTAGGCCCCTCCCATTTCTGCTTCTTTTTACCGCCTAGCCAAATAAATTTCGCACGCATTTTGCGTTCGAAATTAGCGTTCCCACCATGGGCAAAAACTATCGTAAAGATGGCTATTATACCGTATGTAGGTATCCGTGTTCGCCACCTTTCGTAGTACTGCTCCCTTTCAGTAACGGTGTTGATCAGTACTATACGTGAATTACCGATAGAAAATCTTACGAGAAATAAAATAGCTTTGAGAAATGTAAATATCTAGACGTTGAATTCGATAAAGCGGCATCACCACAAACCTGTATAAACTATGCCAGCTTATTACATATAGTACTTGTTGATGATGCTTTCCTTTTGTTCTATTGCCGTTACTGCCGAGCTGTATTGGCGGCTTAGGTCTAGCATCATCGTTCGTGAACGATATATATATATATAGCAAGTGATTGAATTAAACAGAGAAGACCACTCAAAAATTTTCGAGCGATTGCGTTCACTGGCGGCACTCTTTACGTGAAGTCAAAAGGCAAAAATGTCTCGGATGTTCTTCAATTGGGACCATCGCGAGCAATAACGATATCGAGCTCGCATTTGAATAAAAAAAAAAAGTACAGACATAGTCAAGACCGTCAGAGAGTCAAGTTTATTTTATGACTTTTCGAAGAAACAATATGTTCGTATGGTTAGATACACTCTGTATATAGCGCATCAATTTGAGGATCAACAAGAGGATCTGTTCAGGTTGCATTGTGTGAAACAAACAAAGAAATCTTTTATGCTATTACATTTGGGCTTTTCTTCTAACGTACATGCATTGGTACGGTAAAGGTCGAAAGACAACGGTAGGCGTACAAATTTTTTCTACTGGAAATGATCCTGGTAAGGGATGGTGAGCATAATTTGCTAAATACATATTGCTTTGTGCCTGGGTTTCTACCTCATAGCAACGTATCGATTTTATTGACCCCATTAGGCGTCTGTGACTCGGGAGATGCGCATACTGTACATTGAATACATTTCCAAACCTGAAATTACACCACAACAGAAACAGATTCTTTCTGCAGTTCTTTATTTCGATAGAATATTTAGAAACTCGTCATTTCTTCGTTTGCCTATGTTGCTTCACAGCTTAGCGTTGCAGTTATTTTTTACGCAACGCTTCAATTAAAAGGCCTAGGGGGACATATAAAGCAGTGTCAAGATAGGCTCCAGCGTCCAGGCTTGCAGTAGTCCTAGTTACCTTCAAGAAAGCTTGGAAGCACCAGGTTGAAGACGAGAGTATTTTTTCTAAAAGGTGTTTCCTAAGGAGGTAGCTTTTCCTTATTATGTCTCTTCCTTTTTTGGCATCATGTAGATGCATTTCAGAAAAACCGTTTAATGAAGCGAGCTTCGTAGAAATGAACGAATTCATTAATTTCGTGATAATTGTATCGTGTATATGTCGTCTGTGACCGTGTTAATTAGCACCTAGGGGCTAAACTAATCAACTTAGCGCTAACTGAACTCAAAATAGGCACTACACACACGACACAAGCATTGCTAGGCCATGTTCACTCATAGGCACTCGAAATTCGACCATTCGGCTGAATGTCAAGTGCCGTAAAAACCGTGTACGTTCATGCTCACCATTTCCTGTAGAGTAGATATCATGCAGCGCTTGTGCTTTTTTTGCTTTCAAATATCGAAAAATACACCAAATGAAGATGCCCACAATTGCACATACTGCCACCACAACGATGACAGTCGTAGTATTCATTTATATAATATCCGGCTGATGTCGCTTGAGCCACTTCGCGATGGTAGCTTCTCGATAAATCGTACGTTACGGTAAGTCGCTTCATGAGTAACGAAAAAGGCGGGTTAAATTCAGTCCTTAATAGATGCTCAAACTCCGCCGCCTATAACTGTGAACTCGGTGAGAAACCGCGCGCATATAATGAACACAGGCTGCTCTGCTATGGATAACAACTTCGGGCACACTCTCATCGAAGTTCGAAGGAGTTGAGGGCGCGATCTTATGCCGTCTTACGCTGTTGCTAAGCATGAATTCGAACCGCATTTCGAATAATCCGACTTTTCTCGGCTCTTCGTTCACTAGCGGTTAAAATGACGACATAGACAGACAGACAGATCGGTCGATAGGTAGGGCTATGTTGTTGCCAATCGGCAACTATGTATGCAAAGCTGTGTATTCTCACATTTATGTTAAAACTGTCCCCTTGCTATTATCAACCCTGCTCTTATGAACCCGGCAGCGCCCCTCTCGTGCTGAGAGCGGCTTCCTCTGCGCTATGCTAGTGAGACTTACCGTATACATAAACAAAATCGGACAGCACCATCATATATTGTCAGTCCGAGTGACAGCGTAGATTTTATCTGGAAACGCCATATTCTACTGCAGTCATAAGTAGACAGAAGTAACAACTATGAGCAATGCAAATGACTTCACCCCTACCTGCGGCTTGCTTTCGATGATTCAGAAGAAGAGAAAATTGGAATATAGAATAGTGCTAATGATAAAAAATCGGAGAGTTTCACACACACATATATATATGTGTGTATATATACGTATACGTATATATATATAGAGAGAGAGAGAGAGAGAGAGAGAGAGAGAGAGAGATAAGGACCACTCGATCATTTTGCTTAGGCGATCTTTCGTAGAAGTCTCCTACTGTGCTCTATGTCGACATCATTTTTATATACATATGACAATTTGGTCTCGAACCGGTTTGTCGAAAAGTAAATTCTGTTCGAGGTCATAAACCGATAAATCACTGCAAAAAACTAATGTCGGATTATATCTATCAAACGGTATCTGCTCTTCGGTTTACTTTGGTAGGTGCTAGCCAAGCTTGTATAACCAAAACATATACAAAAGTTAAATATCGTTAGATAAAAAATTTCAAAGAGAAACAAAATCAGTTACTTGTGGCAACTATATGGTGCAGATAAAGCTTTACTACTTTACAGGTGATGACGACACTTGGATGTGATCAATGAGTAATCTGCTCTCCTAATCATCAATCGGTGATCATTTGCGCTACGGTCGAATGCAGCACCGTCCTCTGAATGAAGAATGAAGGCCATCATTATACATAGATATGAAGTCTTTGGCAAAATAGAAAAACGTTATAGTCGAAAGTTGTAACAATTTTAAGATACTACTTTATTTTACTTTACTACTATTTTAGGCTATACCGTAGTTTAGTACAGAACGTTTTATTTAGTCAAAAAAAGACAATGTGATTGCCTGTATGTACTTGTGATATGTACTTACACATTTCGTTGATGGCCTATAGAATAAGCAAATGTTATCATTATATGCGCCAGACACGTATGTTCGCATATAAATACATCGTTATGCTCAAATACGAACTTAATTCATTTTTTGTTACCAGCTTTTTGCCTTTTTACACTTTTTCCTCGCTTTCGTGTTTCTTCTGCTGCCAGCATTCATACCGCTTTTTTTTTGTAATAAATTAGCCGGGAAGGAGGAAAAAAATCGATTATTATCGCTCGACTTTATGGTCCATACATGGATTTTTGAGTTGTAAATACGGTTGAATACCTGAACCAGCCGATGTTTCTCGGAACGTCAAAGAAGAAGATGTTCCTTTCTGTAACTTACCGAACATCCAGATTTTGAAAAAGGACCGTGTTGTATTGTTAACTAACGAGGCAACGGTGCTTATTTGAGAAGTTTGCTCGTTCACTTTCTGCTTCTAAGAAACAAGCCTGGTCGAGCACTCAATTCTAGATAAAACCCATTTTTCTTGATGTCGATAACGTTGATTAAAATTACTCACACGAAAATTTTCGCTCGGGTACTGTGATAGAGCTTGGTAGCCGACGGAGCGTTTACAGATATAGGGAACGCCGACTTCAGGTTCAACACGGATTCGGGTTCCCCCACGGAGGCTGCGCTGGCAGCGACACCGTTCACAGTAACCATGCCATACCTCATTGAAGTAAGTCGCGATTCGTTTGCCGTTTTCGCTCTAACTCTCTTGTGAAACTGTCGCAAATTTTCCTGCAGTGTCTTGCGGTTGCAGTGCTATCTAAAGTCTGCTATTATAATGTAGTTCTATATCTTTAAAGCAATTCTTTTAGTGACGTCGGTACGTGCCACTGCGGATATATTGCACTTACAATCAAGGGAATATTTATTCGGCACAACAAACGGAAGCAGGTTTCTCATATGATGCTCAAGGATAACGGCCAATCGACACTCAGTACGAATATGCGTGGTGTTTTCAGGGAACCCGCAACAGAACCAGACCTGCCAGTCTTGTGCACCGGATAGCTCAGTCAGAACGGTTGGCATCGTGAGTGCTAAAACCATTCACCAAGTAGAGTGTCTATAAGGATAGATCTAACAGGCCGGAGTTCCAGAAGTCTTCGTCACGCGCTTTTTGCCTGCAATCCTTTAGAGATCAGAGAACACTAAGTTCTAGAATGGCGTTCCTACCTATCGTCAGCTTGGTGTCACCAGACCATTTCGTTAGCGTTTTCGTCCTTCCGGTTTCTGTATAGTCAAATCCTCGTGGATCAAACTCTCTGCTTTCGGCGGCCCCATAGGACTAATGGGGCTAATGGTAGTGTCGGGGTATTGATTATGTACGACAAACCCATGTCAGGTGAATCGGTAGCGTACGTACCAAAACGGATAAGTATCGTCACTATAACAGATTTCTCTTTTTGAGCAATATGAAGCTTATCTGCATGAATCCGTGTACAAAGAATCGAGTTAATACACATTAAAAGTATGTACTTAATACTAATCATGCAAACTTTAGACAGTCAGGAAATGTTATTTCTATATGTATGATGATAATGTATGATTCCCATCCGCGTCTTCGCCAAATCGTTAGTTCTTTTTTATTCGTATATGTTAGCGTCTTTCTGTTAACAAGTATTGCGGGTATGTACACTTTCTTCATTTCTTTGTTGGGAAAAATTTTTTCAAATTTGTAGGTTTTTTGGAGAAAAACAAAAGCATCCTGACTGGACCAAGCCCACCAAGTGCCACCTTCATTTTATTTTCTATCTTTAACAAAACAAATGTTCTATTATAATGTAATGTTATTATAATAGTAAAATAAAATTGAAGCAACATGAAACAAAAGGAAATGTAAATAAAAACTGAAATAACTCAAGCTTAAATTTTTTCCAACGTATTTTTCAGATGTTGCGATACTCTAAAAGTTGCATGCACATACATTAATTAGAAACCAAATAACACAAGGGGAATTCTCGCTTTACTGTAATAAATTCATGTATTTTCAGCCTTCTCGTCATGTTTGAGTTGGGAAAAAGAAGATTGCGTCGGCTGCCTGGTGACTTTCAACAACCAGAAAGGCTCCAACGAGTAAACTAAAAGTGCTTGAACCATAAACTTTGTGCAGTCCATTTATTTATCATGTGTGTGATTTTCCAGTTCTTTTATAGAAGCAAACTCAAGTAGCTGCAACAGCGCGATAATTTCTTTAAAAGTTATAGCGATAACGAACGAAAAACATTTCGTCACAAAATTGTGCTACTTTCCCAACTCTCCCAGTGCTTCGCTTTTAGGACATTCTGGCTGTTGCATTCCAAGTTCATTGGTTGACGTTGGTGGCCGACAGATGGCGCCACGAGGTCTTAACTCCATAAGAAAAAATTTCAAACTGAGGTGAAAGGAAATATAAATGTTTTTCTATGCATCTCTTTATGATGCTTTTATTCAACATACTTGTTACTACACAACAGCGCAATAGTGCCTATTGCGCTGTTGTGTAGTCTTTTTTTAGACATAGTACGATTTTGTTCACTTAGGCTTGTATTGAAAGTAGTGACTATTCTTTTATTTAAATCTTTTTTTATGCTGCCTCATTTGTACTAGATTTAGATACAACGGACCGGGTGATGAATCTGTCCTCCATGTTAGAATAAATTATCCAATAGTGCTACGGTGACGACGATAGAAATGGGCGACGAAATAGCTGCGCTAGACTGGTCAAACCGTACATTAATAAATCTTAATAAAAAAAACAATGACTACTATAGTTAAAAACATTTTCGGATAATAATAATGATGGTAAACGAAATCGAAACATCAACGTTAGACCTGCTTACTTTTTTAAATTATTTTTCATTTATCTAAAATATTTGCTATGAAATCGACAACAAGTCTATTGTTGGCCAATAATTGTTCATTTGTCAAGATTTGCCACCGAATTGAATTGAATCGACATTATCCAGGCACATTTTGTTTGCGACCTTTGAGCAAAAAAATTCCCAACTGATCCTTTTCGGCCCAGCCCGGTTTTACTCACGGTCGATAAAGTCATTTTCGAGTAGAGCATAGTTATCATGCATTTACGCTACGAATCCAATTGGCACATTTTGTGGCCCAAGCAGTAATTGTCCCTCCTTCCCTCTTTTTTGTGATCTTCAGCAACAGCAGTAATACTGGTCGTGGAAGCCATCTGCGTGTGATACGTAGCGTGTATGCCTGAGCGGCACCATCGTATTATTATGCCTTCGAACATCGCGTCGTGCGTCCCCCTCTTTACGATGGACATGCGGACCCAAAAAGGGTAGAACTGCCGATTTAACAACGTCGGCTGTAATCTGCTTATTCACCCTTGGATTCGATGTACGAACATAGGCACGACTGGACGAACGGGTTACTGTCGCGCATCAGTTCAGCGCCGGAGGCTGGCGGCGTGGCATTACGAGACGGCGCCGTTAGTAACATTGTTGCTCTACTATTGCAGTTCTTATATTGTTACCCAAAATCTATTCTTCTCTATGACGCGCTCTTGGGTGTCACGCTGACCGGCAATAAACAACAGCTAACATCTTGAGTTTTTTTTTCTTTTTGTCAGCAAGCCGGCAGCGTCAATGACGACGACAAAGACGGGGTTGTTGGTTGGCTCACTCTCTCTCGTTTTTCGCGTCTGGTTTAGGCTGGTTGGAAATTCACCACGCAGCTGTTGCTAAGAGCTGCTACTACTGTCAGCGATAGATATCAAACCAGCGGCCACGGGAGGGCTAGATGTCTGACCCGTAATCACATACCCGATGCGGAAAATGCCATGCGCGACCTAGAGCCTTCGCTTGTAAATGCTACCGTTGTTGTTACTCTCGGTAACGAGTGCTAGCATCTAGTAGCAATTGGTATTTGGCCTTCAAGAAGCCGCTATGGCAGGCTTGGCAAAACAGCTTCTCTTCAACAGATATGGATAGAGGACGCAACGGCCTGTTCCACTTTTTAACAGCCTATCTATTTCGCATCCTTTCAAGAG